GTGATCTTGGCTCATTGCAACCTCCGCCCTCCGAGTTCAAGCAATTCTCCCACCTCAGCCTCCCAAGTAGCTGGGCTTACAGGCGCCTGCCACCACGCCTGGCTAATTTTTTGTATTTTTAGTAGAGACGGGGTTTCACCACCTTGGCCAGCTGGTCTTGAACTCCTGACCTCGTGATCCACTGGCCTCGGCCTCTCAAGGTGCTGGGATTACAGGCCTGAGCGACCGCGCCCGGCCTATAAACTTTTTGTTAGTACTGGTTTCACTGTATCTCATGGGTATTGTTGTGTTTCCATTTTGTTTCAAGAAATTTAAATTCTTAATTTATTCATTGACCCACTGGTCATTCAGGAACATATTGTTTAATTACCCTGTGTTTGCATAGTTTCCAAAATTCCTCTTGTTACTAATTTCTAGTTTTATTCCATTGTGGTCAGAAAAAATACTTGATATAATTTCAGTGTTTTTAATTAATTTAAAAATGTATTTATTTAATGTATAGGACAGTTGGAACATAGGGGGTGTGTGTGTGTTTGTGTGTGTGTGTGTGTATATATATATATTTTTAGACAGAGTCTCGCTCTGTTGCCCAGGCTGGAGTGCAGTGGCAATATATCAGCTCACTGCAAGCTCCGCCTCCCGGGTTCACGTCATTCTCCTGCCTCAGCCTCCCCAGTAGCTGGGACTACAGGTGCCCACCACCGCGCCCGGCTAACTTTTTATATTTTTAGTAGAGAGGGGTTTCACCGTGTTAGCCAGGATGGTCTCGATCTCCTGACCTTGTGATCCACCCGTCTTGGCCTCCCAAAGTGCTGGGATTATAGGCATGAGCCACCATGCCCAGCCTATATATATATATATTTTTTTGAGATGGAGTTTCACTCTTGTTGCCCAGGCTGGAGTGCAATGGCGCGATCTTGGCTCACTGCAACCTCTGCCTCCTGGGTTCAAGCAAGTCTCCTGCCTCAGCCTCCTGAGTAACTGGGATTACAGGCGCCCACCACCATGCCGAACTAATTTTTGTATTTTTAGTAGGGATGAGGTTTTACCACGTTGGCCAGGCTGGTCTCAACCTCCTGACCTCAAGTGATCTGCCCTCCTTGGCCTCCCAAAGTGCTGGGATTACAGGCATGAGCCACCGTGCCCAGCCAGAACATATATATTTTTAAGAGACAGGGTTTTGCTTTGTTGCTCAGGCTGGGGTGCAGGGGTGCCATTATAGCTCACTGCTGGCTTGAATTTTTTGGACTTTTTTTTTCTTTTGAGACAGGTCTCACTCTGTCACCTAGGCTAGAGTGCAGTGGTACAATCTCGGCTCACTGCAACAACCTCTGCCTCCTGGGGTCAAGCCATCCTCCTGCCTCAGCCTCCTCAGTAACCTGGACTATAGGTGCACACCACCACACCCAGCTAATTTTTGTACCTTTTGAAGAAATGGGGTTTTTCCATGTTGCCCAGGCTGGTCTCAAACTACTGAGCTCAAACAATCTGCCCATCCTGGCCTCCCAAAGTGCTGGGAATTACAAGCAAGAGCCACAATGACTGGCCACTTTTTTTTTTTTTTTTTTTTTTGAGACGGAGTCTTGCTCTGTCGCCCAGGCTGGAGTGCAGTGGCCGGATCTCAGCTCACTGCAAGCTCCGCCTCCCGGGTTTGCGCCATTCTCCTGCCTCAGACTCCCGAGTAGCTGGGACTGCAGGCGCTCGCCACCACGCCCGGCTATTTTTTTGTATTTTTTAGTAGAGACGGGGTTTCACTGTGTTAGCCAGGATGGTCTCGATCTCCTGACCTCGTGATCCGCCCGTCTCGGCCTCCCAAAGTGCTGGGATTACAGGCTTGAGCTACTGCACCCGGCCTTTTTTTTTAATTTTTAAAAACTTGTTTTCTGGCCTATCATATTGTCTGTTCTTAAGAATGAACCATGTGCTGAGGAGATGGATGTGTATTTTGCAGTTGTTGAATGAAAAGTTCTGTAAATATCTATTAGATCGATTTGGTCTATAGTGCAGAGTAAGTCTGATGTTTCTTTGTTGATTTTATGTCTGGATGACCTGTTCAATGCTGAAAGTGGGTTATTGAAGTCTCCAGTTAATGTTGTGGGGTCTGCCTCTCCCTTAAGCTCTAATATTATTTGCTTTATATATCTGGGTACTCCAGTATTGGGTGCATATATATTTATAATTGTTATGTCCTCTTGCTGAATTGACCCCTTTATCATTATATAATGACCTTCATCTCTTTCTATAGTTTTGTCTTGAAATCTATTTTGTCTAATGTAAGTATAACCATTCCTGCTCTTTTTTGGTGTCCATTAACATGAAATACCTTTTTCCATCTCTTTATTTTCAGTCTACGTGTGTCTTTATAGGTGAAGTGTGTTTCTTGTAGGCAACAGATTGTTGAATCTTTTTATTTTAATCCTTTCAGCCACTCTATGTCTTTTATTTTATTTTATCTTATTTTATTTTTTGAGATGGAGTCTCGCTCCTTGTCCAGGCTGGAGTGCAGTGGTGTGATCTCAGCTCACTGCAGCCTCCACCTCCCAGGTTCAAGTGATTTCCAGCTAATTTTTGTATTTTTAGTGGAGACAGGGTTTCACCATGTTGGCCAGGCTGGTCTCGAACTCCTGGCCTCAAGTGATCCACCCAACTCAGCCTTCCCAAAGTGCTGGGATTACAAGCATGAGCCACCACGTCCAGCCACTCTATATCTTTTAAATTGGAGTGTTTACGGCCGGGCGCGGTGGCTCAAGCCTGTAATCCCAGCACTTTGGGAGGCCGAGACGGGCGGATCACGAGGTCAGGAGATCGAGACCATCCTGGCTAACACGGTGAAACCCCGTCTCTACTAAAAATACAAAAAACTAGCCGGGCGAGGTGGCGGGCGCCTGTAGTCCCAGCTACTCCGGAGGCTGAGGCAGGAGAATGGCGTAAACCCGGGAGGCGGAGCTTGCAGTGAGCTGAGATCCGGCCACTGCAGTCCAGCCCGGGATGCAGAGCAAGACTCCGTCTCAAAAAAAAAATAAAATAAAATAAATTGGAGTGTTTAGTCCGTTTACATGCGATGTTATTATTGATAAATAAGAACTTCTCCTGCCATTTTGTTATTTGTTTTCTAGTTGTTTTGTGGTCTCCTCTTCCTTCTTTACTTCCTTCTTGTTTTGTTTTTTGTGAAGGTGATTTTCTCCAGTGGTATGTTTTAATTCTTACATTTTATTTTGTTTATCTGTTACAGGTTTATTTTATTTTACCTTTCGAGACAGGGTCTTGCTATGTTGCCTAGGTTGGATTGCAGCGGTGCAATTTGGGCTCACTGCGACTTCTGCCTCGCAGGCTCAAGAGATTCTCCCACTTCAGCCTCCTGAGTAGCTGGGACTAGAAGTGCACACCACCACGCCCAGTCAATTTTTGTATTTTTGAAGAGACAGGGTTTTTTCTTTTTTTTCTTTTTGAGATAGAGTTTCACTTTTGTTGCCCAGGCTGGAGTGCAATAGCACAATTTCAGCTCACTGCAACCTCTGCCTCCTGGGTTCAAGCGATTCTCCTGCCTCAGCCTCCTAAGTAGCTGGGATTACAGGAATGCACCACCATGCCTAACTAAATTTTGTATTTTTTTAGTAGAGACGGGGTTTCACCATGTTGGCCAGGCTGGTCTCGAACTCCTGACCTCAGATGACCTGCCCGCCTTGGCCTCCCAAAGTGCTGGGATTACAGGCGTAAGCCACCATGCCCAGCAGAGACAGGGTTCTTTCATGTTGCCTAGGCTGGTCTTGAACTCCTGAGCTCAAGCAATCCACCTGCCTCAACCTCCCAAAGTGCTGGGATTATAGGTGTGAGCTACCGTGCCTGGCCTGTTGTAGGTTTTTTTGATTTGAGGTTACCATAATGCTTGCAAATAACATCTTATAACCTGTTACTTTAAACTGATGACACTTAACACTGGTTGCATAAACACACAAACTAACAAATGGGAAAGAGAAAACTGATAAAAAACTCTGCACTTTATCTCTCCTGTTTTTTAACTTTTTGTCACTTCTATTATATCTTATTATATTCTCTTTGTCTTGAAAAGTTGTAGTTATTTTTAGTAGGTTCATCTTTTAGTCTTTCTACTCAAGATACGAGTAGTTTATACACCACAATTACAGTGTTACAATATTCTATGGTTTTACGTGTACTTAATATTACCAGTGAGTTTTGTACCTTCAGATGATTTCTTATTGCCCATTAATGTCCTTCACTTTCAGACTGTAGTATTCCCACTAGCATTTCTTGCAGAACAGGTCTGCTGTTGATGAAATCCCTCAGCTTTTGTTTTTCTGGGAAACTTTTTTTTTTTAGGTGGAGTCTCGCCCTGTTGCCCAGGCTGGAGTGCAATAGCGTGATCTCGGCTCACTGCAACCTCCACCTCCCGGGTTCAAGCGATTCTCCTGCCTCAGCCTCCTGATTAGCTGGGATTACAGGTGCCTGCCACCACGCCCAGCTAATTTTTGTAGTTTTTGTAGAAATGGGGTTTCACTATGTTGGCCAGGCTGGTCTCGAACTCCTGACCCCAGATGATCCACCCGCCTCGGCCTCCCAAAGTGCTGGGATTACAGGCGTGAGCCACCGTGCCTAGCCTGGAAACTCTTTATTTCACCTTTGAAGGATAACTTCACTGGATATACTATTATAGGATAAAAGTTTTTTTCCTTCAGCACTTTAAATATGTAATGCCACTCTCTCCTGGCCTATCAGATTCCCACTGAGAAGTTCTCTGCCAGACATATTGGAGCTTCTTTGTATATTGTTTCTTTTCCCTTCTGCTTTAGGATCCTTTCTTTATACTTGACCTTTGGGAGTTTGATTATGTCTTGAGGTAGCCTTACTTGGGTTAAATCTGCTTGGTGTTCTATAACCTTCTTATATTGGAATATTGATATCTTTCTCTAGGTTTGGGAAGTTCTCTGTTATTATCCCTTTGAATAAACTTTCTACTCTGATTTCTGTCTGTCTACCTTTTTAAAAATATAGAACACTTCATGAATTTGCAGGTCATCCTTGTGCAAGGGACATGCTAATCTTTTCTGTATCATTCCAATTTTAGTAGATATGCTGCCAAAGTAAGCACTACTATTTTTTTTTTAGAAATGGGATCTTGCTCTATCACTCAGGCTCAAGTGCAGTGGTACAATCATAGGTCACTGCAGCCTGGAATTCCTAGTCTCAAATGATCCTCCTGCCTCAGCTTCCCAAGTAGCTGGAACAACAGGCACGTGTCACGATACCTGGCTAACCTTTCCTTGTTTGTTGTAACAACAAGGAAAATGTATGTTGAAAATAGCTTTCTAGAAGAACTAGAGGAGCTGGGGGGGGTGGTATACCCCTGTAATCTCAGATGCTTGTGATGCTGAGGCAGGAGGATCACTTGAGCCTAGAAGTTTGAGATCATCCTGGGCAGTATAAGAAGACCTTGTGTCAAAAAAAAAAAAAAAAAAGAAGAAAAGAAGACAAAAGAAAGAATAAAGGAGAAAGAAGGAAGAAGAAGAAGAAGGAGAAGGAGTAGGAAGAGGAGGAGGAGGAGAAACAGTGTACAAGAGATTGTTTTCTTAGTGATTTCTTTTCATATTCTCAGCAGCATAATTACGCCTAAAGTAAACCTCTGTTTGTAGTGTTCAATTAATTCTGGGAAGCCTCCCTAAGATTCTTTCTTATGTTACCTCAAAGTCAAATTTTTTTATGTAAGAAGAATGAAAATGATGGAAGTAGTTTCTTTTTTGTGCGTTTTTTTGAGAGACAGGGTCTCACTTTGTCTTCTAGGCTAGAGTGCCGTGGTGCAAACGCAGCTTACTGCAAACTCAACCTCCTTGGCTCAAATGATTCTCCTGCCTCAGTGTCCCAAGTAGCTGAGACTACAGGTGTGTGCCACCACACCTACCTAATTTTACAACTTTTTTTTAACAGATGGGGTCTCATTATGTTAACTAGGCTGGTCTCAAACTCGTGGGCTCAAGTGATCCTCTCACCTCAGCCTCCCGAAGTGCTGGGGTAACAGGCGTGAGCCACTGAGCCTGGCCTTTGCCTTACTTCTCTCCCATCCCAGGTTCTACTGTCTGAACCCATTTATTTATTTATTTATTTATTTATTTATTTATTTATTTATTTTGTGTGACAGAGTCTCTGTCACTCAGGCTGGAGTGCAGTGGTACAATCTCAGCCCACTACAACCTGTGTCTACCAAGTTCAAGTGATTCTCATGCCTCAGCCACCCGAGTAGCTGGAATTACAAGCATGTGCCACCGCACCTGGTTAATTTTTTTATTTTTAGTAGAGACGGGGTTTCACCACCTTGGCCAGGCTGGTCTCGAATTCCTGACCTCAAGTGATCCACCTGCCTCGGCCTCCAGGTGTGAGCCACTGTGCCCAGCCCACACAGAAATATATTCAATGAAAAGTAAAAAAAAAAGAAAAAGAAAAAGATGAAAAAAAACTGACCGTCTTTCTACTTGCCCCTCTTCTAGACTGGATAGGGAGGATTAGAACTTGATAGAATTCTGATAATAGGGAAGGCAAGACCACCATTAAGGCAAACATTGAAGTAGGCATTTCAGGTCCTGTATCCCCTGCCTTCTTGCCGTTCACAACCCTTGAAACTTTCCTTCTAGCGCTCTAGAATTACGACAAAGTCCCATGTTCCCAAATCACCTTTCCCCTGTCCCCTACACACACAAAAAATCCCATTTCCTTTGTGCAGATTTCAATCAGTTATCTGGAAGAGTCTCATGCTAAAAATTGAGTGTTTTATAATTGTTTAATCCAAGTGAACCTCTCAATGGTGGCATTTCCACAGTGTAGGAAATCTACCTATTGGAGCAAGAAGGCCTTTCCCTCTCTCTCTCTTTCTCTCTCTCTTTCTTTTTTTTTTTTTTTTTTTTTTTTTTTTTTTGAGACAGGGTCTCACTCTGTTGGCCTTTCCTCTCTCTTTCTTTCTTTTCTTTTTTTTTTTTTTTTTTTTTTTTTTGAGAGACAGGGTCTCACTCTGTTACCCAGGCTGGAGTGCAGTGGTGCAATCACAGCTCACTGCAGCCTTCACCTCCCGGGGTCAGGTGACTCTCCCACCTCAACCTCCCTAGTAGCTGGGACTACAGGTGCATGCCACTATGCCTGGCTAATCTTGTGTGTGTTTTGTAGAGACAGGATTTCACTATGTTGAAGCTCAGGCTGGTCTCGAACTCCTGAGCCTGCGATCTGAATTCACCCGGCCTCCCAAAGTGCTGAGATTACAGCTATGAGCCACACCGCACCTAGCCCATGAAGGCCTTTTTTTTTTTTTTTTTTTTTTTTGAGACAGGGTCTCACTCTGTTGCCCAGGCTGGAGTCCAGTGGCACAATCTCAGCTCACTGCAACCTCCACCTCCTGGGTTCAAGGAATCCTCCTGCCTCAGCCTCCTGAGTAGCTGGGATTACAGGTACACGCCACTATGCCCAGCTACCTTTTGTATTTTTAGTAGATACAGAGTTTTGCCATGGTGGCCAGTCTGGTATTGAACTCCTGGGCTCAAGTGATCCACCTGCCTTGGCCTCCCAAAGTGCTGGAATTACAGCTATGAGCCACCGCACCCTGCCCATGAAGGCCTTTTTTGTTTATTTGTTTTTGTTTTTTGAGACAGGGTCTTGCTCTGTTGCCGGGGCTGGAGTCCGGTGGCGCAATCTCAGTTCACTGCAACCTCTGCCTCCCGGGTTCAAGGAATTCTCCTGCCTCAGCCTCCTGAGTAGCTGGGATTACAGGTGCATGCCACTATGCCCAGCTAATTTTTGTATTTTTGGTAGAGACGGGGTTTCGCCATGTTGCTCAGGCTGGTCTGGAACTCCTGGGCTCAAGTGATCCACGTGCCTCGGCCTCCCAAAGTGCTGGGATTACAAGTGTGAGCCACTGCACCCCGCCCTTTTTTTTTTTTTTTTTTTTTTGTGACAGAGTTTCACTCTTTTTGCCCAGGCTGGAGTCAATTGCGTGATCTCGGTTCACCGCAACCTCCACCTCCCGGGTTCAAGCGATTCTTCTGCCTCAGCTTCCCGAGTAGCTGGGATTACAGGCATGCGCCACCACACCCAGCTAATTTTGTATTTTTGGTAGAGATAGGGTTTCTTCATGTTGCTCAGGCTGGTCTCAAACTCCTGACCTCAGGTGATCCACCTGCCTCGGCCTCCCAAAGTAAGCCACTGTGTGATTACAGGCGTGAGCCACCGCACCTGGCTTTTTTTTTTTTTTTTTTTGAGATAGAACCTCCCTCTGTCGCCCAGGCTGGAGTGCAGTGGCGTGATCTTGGCTCACTGCAACCTCCACCTCCTGAGTTCAAGCCATTCTTCTGCTTCAGCCTCTCAAGTAGCTGTGATTACAGGTGTGTGCCACCACACTCAGCTAAGTTTTGTATTTTTAGTAGAGGTGGGGTTACACCATGTTGGCCAGGCTAGTCTCAAACTCCTGATTCCAAGTCCGCCTCAGCCTCCCAAAGTGCTGGGATTACAGGCCTCATGAAGGCCTTTCTATTGCCCATTTCATTACCCAATTTGCCTATACTAGATCTGAGGCAGGAAAATAAAAAATCTGTGTGGCTCTCAATTATTCTGCTAGAGAAAAAAGTGATGCTTTAGGTAAAAAAAATTAAAGAAAGGGAGGAGAATAGAGGCCAAGGCCTAGACCATTCCCTCCTTTCACACACTCCTGTTTGTTATTCAAGAAAGAAGCCTGCTGGGCGTGGTGGCTCATGCCTGTCATCCTAGCACTTTGGGAGGACGAGGTGGGGGGGATCACCTGAGGTCAGGAGTTCGAGACCAGCCTGGCCAACACGGTGAAACCCCGTCTCTACTAAAAATACAAAAAATTAGCCGGGCATGGTGGCGGGCACCCGTAATCCCAGCTAATCAGGAGGCTGAGGCAGGAGAATTGCTTGAACTCAGGAGGTGGAGGTTGTAGTGAGCTGAGATCACACCATTGCACCACTCCAGCCTGGGCAACAAGAGTGAAACTCTGTCTCAAAAAAAAGAAAAAGAAAAAGAAAAAAGCCAAATCCTTACACTAAATTGCATCAAACTAAGTAGAGTTCCATTCTTCCACAATTCCAGTGTAACTAGACTCTAGGAAGTCACAGACAGAAGATCTAACCACTAGAGTTTCCCTAAATTATAGGTTAAGGATATTTTTAGAAAGATTACAAATATATTTTTTTACTTTTTCCAAAGTTCTCTTTTCTTTTTAGCTGGCTACTGAAATATCCTCCTAATTCTAGCTCCTGTAACCCCTCTATTATCTCCCAAGATATAACTCTAATTCTTTGTTCTCATGAGCACTGAATGGTGACCTAATGGGTATCATGGCCCCATGTCCTTTTTCCTAGGGTAAAACCCAGACCTAGCTTGTTGCCAGTGTCCTCAGACCACCTTGGGTGAGTTTCCTTTAACTAGGTAAAATTTGTCGGTAGCAAACTTTGCAGTTTCTGCCAAACTTGCTTTTTTTTTTTTTTTTTTTTTCAGGTTTCCGTGTGAGGTTTAATACTATATGCATCAAAACATCAAAGCTTTTTTTCAGAGAAATATACTCTCAAGGTGAACTGTGGATATCGTAGATGTCTATCCTGAGGTCTTCTGTGGGTCCAGACACAGCAGGTAGTGAATTGGGAGGAGCCAATACCACCAGATACCAAAGGCAACCATGGAGGGGCAGTTTAATTAATCACTGTTCTTAAATTTGTCATTGATATAAGACACCCAGTCCAGAATCAGCTGCCCAGTTGGTAGGTGACTATAGCGCCCTGGTACCCATGGTGCCTGACATGGGAATCCAGTGCCTGACATGGGAATCCAGTTCTTCCCCAATTCCAAGTAGGGTGGGCTGGGAGCGTGGAAACAAAGCAATGCCACCTACAGCCCTCCACATTTACTTTTCTTACTGTTAATGTAATCACCCATGATGTAGCATAAACATGATTATGAATATAATCAAATGTGCGTCTGAACATGATAAAAAATAAAAATTGTATATTTAAACTCTATGCATATACTTTATATTCATAGTGTTACTCATCTTACATAGTCATCTGCTCACAAATACAACATTATTACAACAACATTAATAAATATAATATTAAAAGAAAGATCACTTTTGAGAGCTCTGTCCAGCAAAATAAATAAATAAATAAATAATCATACAGTATTATCTGCACACTCAAATTTGGATTCTTTATTGCTCTGCAGGTTTCCAGAGTTCAGAGTTCAGAGAACAGTAGGAAAAGTAAATAAGTAATAATATTGTGTAGTTTAGAGAGTGAGTAATCAGTCTAAAACTTATGATAGGCTGAGCATGGTGGCTCACGCCTGTAATCCCAGCACTTTGGGAGGTCATGGTGGGTGGATCACCTAACCTCAGGAGTTCAAGAACAGCCTGGGCAACAAGGCAAAACCTCATCTCAACAAAAAAAAATACAAAAAAAAAAAAAAGAAAAAAAGCCAGGCATGGTGGCATGTGCCTGTGGTCCCAGCTACTTGGGAGGCTAAGGTGGGGGGATCACTTTAGCCTAGGAGGTGGAGGTTGCAGTGAGCTGAGATCACACCACTGCACTCTAGCCTGGGTGACAGAGTGAGACCTCATCTCAAACCAAAAAGAAATGTATGATAAAATAAAATAAATTTAATATCAAGATCCCTAAAATAACATACTAAACAGGTACATTCTTACCTCTGAATGCCTGGGCACTAGATCCAATACATCCCTTTTGCTCACAGACCAGTGGAATGTGAGCCCAGGATTAGCATTGCTGAAGGAGAAAGGGGTCTGGGTACTGGTAACTCCCATGACATAAACTGGCATCTGAAAATAAATAGTGGCATTGTGCTATACAACCTGCCCAGTTGCAATTATCAGAATAATGAACCCTGAACAGAGCCATCATACTGACCTTGGTAGCTGTGATGAGCCGAGTTGCAGCTGCAAGGATCCTAACAGCCCTTAGCTGAACAACTTCAATCTGTACTTCATCCTGCTCAACAGGGTGGAGAGCAAGCTTAGGCTAAGAGAGAGTTTCTGTGGGGTGGACAGAGATGCTTATGATAACTAGTTTGTTACTGTTTTTAACATTCAGTAAAAAACCTTACCCATGTTTACTGCAGCACTATTCACAATAGTCAATATTTGGAGGCAACCTAAGTGTCCATCAACAAACAAATGGATAAAGAAAATGTGGTACATATATACAACAGAGAACTATCAGTCATAAAAAGAATGAGATCCTGTCATTTGCAACAACATGGATGGAACTAGAGATCATTATGTCAAGTGAAATAAACCAGGCATAGAAAGACAAAGACAAACTTCACATGTTCTCACTTACACATTTGTGGGAGCTAAAAGTTAAAACAGTTGAACTCATGGAGATAAAGAATAGAATGATGGGCTGTGCACAGTGGCTCACTCCTGCAATCCCAGCACTTTGGGAGGCTGGGTGGATCACTTGAGGTTAGGAGTTCAAGACCAGCCTGACCAACATGGTGAAACCCATCTCTACCGAAAATAAAAAATTAGCCGGGTATGGTGGCACGTGCCTGTAGTCTCAGCTACTTGGGAGGCTCAAGCAGGAGAATCACTTGAATCCTGGAGGCGGAGGTTGCAGTGAGCCGAGATCATGCCTTTGCATTCCAGCCTGGGCAACAAGAGCAAAACTCCGTCTCAAAACAAACAAAAAGGTAGAACAATGGTTGCCGGAGGCTGGGAAGGGTAGTGGGTGGGTAGGGGGAATATAGGGATGATTAATGGGCACAAAAATATAGTCAGATAGAATGAAAAAGATCTAGTATTTATAGTATAACACGGTGACTACAGGCAACAATAACTTATTGTTTATTTAAAGATAACTAAAAGACTATAATTGGATTGTCTGTAACACAGAAAGGATAAATGCTTGAAGTGGTGGATACCCCATTTACCCTGATGTAGTTAATATGCATTGTATGCCTGTATCAAAATAACTCATGTTCTGTTGGGAACAGGCCCCCAAATCTGGCCATAAACTGGCCCCCAAAATGGCCATAAACAAAATCTCTGCAGCACTGTGACATGTTCATGATGGCCATGATGCCCACGCTAAAGGTTGTGGGTTTACCAGAATGAGAGCAAGGAACATCTGGCCCACTCAGGGTGGAAAACTGCTTAAGGCATTCCTAAGCCACGAACAATAGCATGAGCAATCTATGCCTTAAGGACATGTTCCTGCTGCACGTAACTAGCCAAAGCCCATCCCTTTGTTTCCCATAAGGAGCGCTTTTAGTTAATCTATAATCTATAGAAACAATGCTTATCACTGGCTTGCTGTCAATAAATATGTGGGTAAATCTCTGTTCATGACTCTCAGCTCTGAAGGCTGCCAGCCCCCTGATTTCCCACTCCACACTCTATATTTCTTTGTGTGTGTGTCTTTAATTCCTCTAGCACCACTGGGTTAGGGTCTCCACAACTGACCTGGTCTCGGCAAGTGGTGCCCATACATGGGGCTCCAACCCAGGTCAAAGGGTCACCAGAGTGATGGTTGGAGAACGTGGAACTAAGCTGGAGGACACCCGAGTACTCTTAAGCAATCCCCGTGGTGAGTAAGAAGGAGAGCTTGGAAGCATCAGGGTAACAATGGGACAAGTGTGGGCTCTGGTTCATTCCACCTTGGAACCTTTTCACACTGATGATAAGGAGGAAGGAAAGTATATCGAAATAACAGAAGAGGTAACAGAGCAGGTTTGTTTGCCAGTTAAAGCTAAAGTGGCAAACGAGGAAGAGGTTCATCCCTACCCTTCTGCACCCCCTCCTTATTTTGAAGAAGAAGAGTGGCTTGACCCTCCAGATCTTTCTTTTCCGGAGGACACTGGGCAAAAAGTAGTTGTCCCAGTGACTGTTCAAGCAGTGCTTCGAGCAACTGCTCTCAGTTCTATTCAGGCAGGAATCCAGCAAGCTAGAAGAGAGGGTGATATAGAGGCTTGGCAGTTCCCTGTTAGGATACATCCCCCAGATCAACAGGGAAATATAACTGTGTTTGAGCCTTTTCCTTTTAAAATACTTAAAGAGTTTAAACAGGCTATCAATCAGTATGAACCAGATGTATGCCTAAAGTGTAAAAAAGGAAAACATTGGGCTAATCAGTGTCACGGGAAACACCATGAGGGGCCTTTCCCGGACCCCATTCCAAACCCAGACATCTCCAGCTCTCCCTCACCTCTGTACAATGTCTGTCCCCCACCACAGCCAGCAGTGCCGCAGTAGATTTATGCTGCACAAAAGCTGTGAGCCTTCTGCCTGGGGAACCCCTGCAAAAAGTACCAACAGGAGTCTGTGGACCCTTGCCAGCAGGGGCAATAAGATTACTTCTAGGTAGATCTATTTTAAACTTAAAAGGAGTGCAAGTACATATAGGAGTCATTGATTCAGATTACAGTTGGGAAATTCAAATTGTTATATCTCCTTCTGTTCCCTGGAAAGCAGAGCCAGGAGAGTGTATAGCAGAGCCCCTGATTGTGCTGTATGTAGAAATGGGGAAAAGTGAAAAACAAGAGGATTTGGAAGCACAAATAAACAAGGCAAAGCAGCTTACTGGGTGAATCAAACTACTGATAAACATCCTACCTGTGAAATAACTATTCAGGGAAAGAAATTTAAAGGTTTGGTAGATACAGGAGCGGACATTTCAATCATTTCTCTACAGCACTGGCCGTCCACGTGGCCAATTCAACCCGCTCAATTTAACATAGTTGGAGTTGGTAAATCCCCTGAAGTATATCAAAGTAGTTATATTTTGCATTGTGAAGGACCCAATGGACAACCTGGGACTATTCAACCAATGATAACTTCTGTACCTATAAATTTATGGAGAAGAGATTTATTACAACAATGGGGAGCACAAGTTCTAATTCCAGAACAATTATATAGCCCTCAAAGTCAACATATGATGCAAGAAATGGGGTATGTCCCTGGTATGGGACTAGAAAAATATTTGCAAGGTTTGAAGGAGCCGCTTCAAGTGGAAAGACAAAGTTCCTGCCAAGGGTTTAGGATATCATTTTTGATGGCAGCCATTGTTAAGCCTCTAGGACCTATACCTTTAAGATGGTTAAAAGATAAGCCAATTTGGAGAGAACAATGGCCGCTAAGTAAAGAGAAACTGGAGGCTTTACAGGACTTAGTTACTGAACAATTAGAAAAAGGACACATAGGTCCAACATTTTCCCCTTGGAATTCTCCAGTCTTTGTTATTAAGAAAAAAATCTGGTAAATGGAGAATGTTGACAGATCTTAGAGTCATTAATTCAGTTATACAACCTATGGTGGCATTACAGCCAGGATTGCCTTCTTCTGCTATGATTCCAAAAAACTGGCCTTTAATAGTCATAGATTTAAAAGACTGTTTCTTTTTTTTTCTATTAATATTTTATTGTCATAAAATTGGGAGTGCAAGAATTATAAATTCAGAAAATATAAAATGTACATGAATTTCTTATATTTTTACCTAACATCGAGTGACTGAGAATAAAATAAAAATGAGTTTTGTGACATCATGGACTCTTTCAAATCATGTCTAGTAGCATGGTCTCACTTGTATGATTTGTCAACAAGTGCCATCAGATGTCAGTGAAAATATTCTCACAATGGATTGAAATTTAAGCATTACACAAGCATAAACTTTCTTCTCACTTCAAATATGAAAACAGTACAGGTATAGAAATTTACTTATCCTGACAAGTAATAAACTCTGATATAAATAAGCTCTCACCTTCCCTAAAAGAGTAATGCCTTGTTCTCTAATTCAATTCCACAAAAGATTAGTTGAAAAATGAACCTGATATCATCTTTTCTTGATGCCACTCAAAGTCTGATCACTTGAATATTGACTCAGATTATTAAAAGTATTAACTCACAATCTTAAAAGTAGCACTGACATACCAGCTTAAATGCCCAGAACAGGAATGGGTTATTCTTTTTGACTAGTATATCCTTCCTTTGCTTTGCCTGGTGAGCTCATCTTCCAGTTCAAACATTACTTAACATTTTAAAAACCTTTACAGAACTTGAACTCTTCGAAGGGTGGGGGAGGGTTTCCTCAAAGGAAAAATTGAGTTGTTTAGCAAAGGGAGGAATAAAAGAAGCAGGTATTTGTCTCATTCATCTAGGCTTCTCCACTGTAACCTAGCATTATATGAGGTACATGAAAATTCCTCAGTGCTAAATGAGAGAATTAAATCAGATGGTTCTGGAGTTAGGACCCTTTCCGTGTCTTCAAACTTGTCATTTATTTTCTTTGGTTCCCACTTATGTTTGACAAATAGACATGTATCTTTTTAAACAGTTATCTACCTTTTTTTCCAAGAGAGGAATTCTCCCATTTCAACCTATTATCTCAGTATAACTGGATAACCTCATCCCACAAAGAAACAGGCCAGATTCCACTGGGTTGCGCATTGGGAGGAGAGCGCTTCCAGTCCCACGTCTTTACAGGAATCTTCCCGGTCTTACCATAGTTGGCTTCAATGTATTCGAGGGTTTTACAGGGCACATGGACCATCATAGCTACAAACTCAGTCCAGCACAATGTAAACTTAGGAAACAGGTACTTTAATTTTTTTCCTGTTTTGGCCTGAGTGACTCCGTTCCACATGTGATCGGTTTCTTCACAGAAGAAAAAAATGTCAAGTTTTACATCGTCTTTTCCCTGGAAGGATAGTTCCAAGCTGTCTTCTACCTTCCCAAATTTGTGTTTGAGCAGAAGTCCTGCATCCTGAAATGCTAAAATAATATCAGATTTGTAATCTTGTATAAAAATTCCTAGGTCGCCAGGCGCGGTGGCTCACGCCTGTAATCCCAGCACTTTGGGAGGCTGAGGCAGGCGGATCACGAGGTCAGGAGATCGAGACCATCCTGGCTAACACGGTGAAACCCCATCTCTACTAAAAAATACAAAAAACAAGCCGGGCGAGGTAGCGGGCGCCTGTAGTCCCGGCTACTCGGGAGGCTGAGGCAGGAGAATGGCGTGAACCCGGGAGACAGAGCTTGCAGTGAGCTGAGATCCGGCCACTGTACTCCAGCCTGGGCGACAGAGCCAGACTCCGTCTCAAAAAAAAAAAAAAAAAAAAAAAAAATTCCTAGGTCGACACCTTTGCTATAAGGAATAATGTTTCATTGTCGATACCATCCTAGACAAGTCCCACTGCTCAGCCAGAATCGTACTCCCATTTTGTTTAATGTTTTCGCTGCTAGTTGCAGTAATTCCTTTGCACTCTTCCGAAAGACCACGGCTTCCACAGTGTTGTCATCAAGGTACTGCTAAAAGAATGCTTGAGCTTCTTTATATCTACAGTCAATAAACCTACAGTGTGGTACTTCTTCTACAAAGCTCATTGAATTCTTTGGAATGAGAACTTCCAGTCCATCAACAGTAACTTGCTGTGACTCTGGCCTGTCAAAAGCTCCTGGATAAAGACCAAACTGTAACTTTCGTAAGGGAACAAATTTACTGTCAATGTGTTCTTTAAGTCTCAAGCGGCCATGCCAGAGATAGTTGCCACTCCTCTCATGGAAGACTACCAAGTGGATCGCATGAGTGGCCAATTTGCAGATATAGTGCAGGGGGATTTCAGTTCCAGAAAGGGAGTCTATCCTGTCTAGCCGGGGATCTTTACTCTCAATCTTTAGGCACTGAAATCCCATATTCTCAGCTACCCGAAACCAGCCTTCCTCATTCCTCCATAGGTGAGACTGCAGTGCAAGTGCAGTAAAGTCTCTTGGAACACAGAAAAACCTGCACTGGGAAATGGAGCCATGAGAAGTATTTTTGACTTGTTCAAAGTTCTTATTAATCAATTCCAATACCAAAGGATCAATAAGAAACACTGGTACATTTTGGTTGGATGTTAGCATAATAAATTTTTTAACTGCACGCCACTGTGTGCCATCAAATCCAATTCGGCTTCCTTTGGATTTTGACAAACCAGCTCCATTCTTTGTTGATAAATAGTGCTTGTAGTAGTACAACTGAAACAGCAGAAATGCAGAACTTGTCAGCGTTAAAAAGGCCAAAACCACGTTCTTATTGATTCTACTCATTAGTCTGTGGTGCTCACTTGGTTGTCTTTTGAAAGTATCTCAGTCGTTTTCATCTTTTTGGATTTGGAAAGGAAGATAATTTTGTTTTCTTTGAAATCCAGTTTTTTAAAAACTAGGTTATACAAGGATGTTGATGACTGTATATTAGTTTTTCCTCATTCAATGTGTTTTCTTTCAATCTTTCTTTCCATAGCTCCTCTCAAATGACACTTCTTCAGTGAAGTCTTCAATATTCTTCCAGGTTAGAAGTGCTCCCTCCACCTCCAACCTAGTTTTACCTTCCTGATGACATGCCCAGAAGTGTGGGAAGGGCTGGCCAAGTGAAAATCTACCACGCGATGCTCACGGACTGACTGAGGAGTACCCAGCCCGGAGCGTGCTCAGCCTGTGGCCAGCCTCCCCACCAAGGGGTAGGCAGGTGCCCAGAATGCTGGAGGATGCCCGGTAAGGGCACCTGAGCCACCAGCGGTACCTGTCTGAAGGCGCCCACCCATCCCGGGCTACCGAGCTGAGCCTGCCATACCTTACCTCACTAAAGACTGTTTCTTTACTATCCCCTTAGCTGAGCAAGATTGTGAATGGTTTGCATTTATAATTCCTGCAGTAAACAACCTGCAGCCTGCTAAGCATTCTCATTGGAAAGTGTTGCCACAAGGCATGTTAAACAGTCCAGCAATTTGCCAGAGGTGTGTAGAGCAAGCAATTGAACCTACTCATAAAAAATTTTCACAGTGTTAACATTTTTCATTATGTGGACGATATACTTTGTGTTGCCCCCACCCGAGAAATATTACCCCAATGTCATGATCACTTGCAAAATTTGAGATTTCTCGCACCAGTTTAATTGTAGCTCCTGACAAAATTCAGACTACTCCTCCTTACTCCTACTTAGGGACCTTAGTAAATGACACTACACTAGTGCCACAGAAAGTAACCATACATAGGGATCAACTGAAAACATTAAATGACTTTCAAAAATTACTAGGGGACATTAATTGGATACAACCTGCTCTAGGCATTCCTACCTTGCCTTGAGTAATCTATTTTCTATCCTTTGAGGAGATCCTAGTCTCACTAGCCCTGGACAATTAACAAAAGAGGCTGAGGCACAGTTACAGCTGATTGAAAAGCAAGTCCATAAAGCTCAGATAAATAGAATAGATTCAGAGAAGACTCTAGATTTGCCAATTTTTTCAACTCAGCATTTACCTACTGGTGGTGTTGTCCAAGGGCAGGACTTAGTAGAATGGCTTTTTCTTCCACATACTAATTCACAGACTCTAACTCCTTATTTGGATCAAATTGCTACACACGATAGGAAATGGGAGAACTCGGATTGTCAAATTACATGGATAAGATCCTGGAAAAATTATTGTCCCACTCACAAAGGCACAAATACAGCAAGCTTTTATAAATAGTCTTACTTGGCAAACCCATTTAGCTGATTTGTGGGTATTCTCAATAATCATTTTCCTAAAACAAAATTATTTCAATTTTTGAAATTAACTAATTGGATTCTCCCTAAATTAACTAAATTTAAACGAATTAAAGGTGCTGAAAATGTCTTCACAGATGGGTCTAATAATGGTAAAGCTTCTTATTCTGGCTTGAAAGATAAAGTTTTTCAGATGCCCTGTACTTCAGCTCAAAATGCAGAGCTCGTAGTTATAATTGAGGTATTGACTGCTTTTGATATGCCTATTAATGTGAGTTCTGATTCTTCATATGTGGTTCATTCTACACAGTTAGTTGAAAATGCTCAGCTATAATTCCACACAGATGAGCAACTGATGATTTTATTTACCCAATTGCAAACAGCAGTTAGGAGTAGAATGCACCCATTTTACATCATTCACCTTAGGGCTCATAAACCTCTTCCAGGACTTTTAACTGAAGGGTATCGAATGGCTGATCGCCTAGTTGCTACTACAATATATAATGCTAGACACTTTCACAATTTTTTTTTTTTGAGATGGAGTCTTGCTCTGTTGCCCAGGCTGGAGTGCAGTGGAGCGATCTCAGCTTACTGCAAGCTCCGCCTCCTGGGTTCACGCCATTCTCCTGCCTCGGCCTCCCAAGTAGCTGGGACTACAGGCACCTGCCACCATGCCCGGCTAATTTTTTTGTATTTTTAGTAGAGACGGGGTTTCACTGTGTTAGCCAGAATGGTCTCGATCTCCTGACCTCAGGATCTGCCCACCTTGGCCTCTCAAAGTGCTGGGATTACTGCCGTGAGCCACTGTGCCTGGCCAACACTTTCACAGTTTAACCCGTTAATACCTCTGGTCTCAAAGCGCAGATACAGCATTACCTGGAAAGAAGCTAAAGCTATTATCCAGCAATGCCCAACTTGCCAAATTATACATTCCTCATCTTTTACAGGAGGAGTTAATCCTCAAGGATTGGAACATAATTCTCTTTGGCAAATGGATGTCACACGTGTTCCCTCGTTTGGGAGACTAGCTTATGAACATGTATGTGTGGACACCTTTTCTCACTTAGTCTGGGCTACATGCCAATCAAGAGAATCTTCTGCCTCTGTTAAACGTCACCTTTTGCAGTGTTTTGTGGTGATGGGCATTCCAGCTTCTATTAAAACAGATAATGCCCCAGGCTATACTAGCCAAGCTCTAGCTACATTTTTCTCTATATGGGATATTAAACACATTACTGGTATCCCATATAATTCTCAAGGACAAGCCATAGTGGAAAGAATGAACCTCTCCCTAAAATAGCAGTTGCAAAAGCAAAAGGGGAGAAATAGGGACTACAGGACACCACATATGCAATTGAATCTAGCATTATTGACTTTAAATTTTTTGAGCCTGCCTAAAGGCCAGATGCTATCGGCAGCTGAACAGCATCTACAGAAACCAGCTACAAAGACAGAAGCAGAAAAACTGGTTTGGTAGAGAGATCCGATAACAAAAAGTTGGGAAATAGGTAAAATAATAACTTGGGGTAGAGGTTATGCTTGTGTTTCTCCTGGACCAAATCAACAGCCGATTTGGATACCATCAGGACACCTGGAACCTTATCATGAGACAGAGGCTGAAGAGATTCTGGGAGAAACCTGAGGATCCCCTGGTTGCAGCCATGTCGAGACTGATGCTGAGGAGGACCCCAACTGTCACAAGCAACACCCATCGAACACAGCCACCTACCCGGAGACAGATCAAGAAGCTGTCACAGACGGCAGAAGAAAACCTGAGGAAAGCGGGACAACCAGTCACAATAAGTAATTTAACAAAAGCTATGATAGTGGTGATCACCATGGCCATGAGTATTCCTTCAACAAGGGCTGGCACAGAGAACAGTTATACTTATTGGACATATTTATCAATCTTGGCTGGCAATAATGCCTGGGTGTAATCACACTATGACACAGTTGCTTTCTGACCTCAGTATTTACCACAATAAATCTGCTCCTATAATTGAGGCATACCGCCCTCAAGAACCTATTTGTTAACAGAAATGAACCTGGCCAGAAATAATGAATGTACTTGTTTGGGAAGATTGTATTGCAGAACAGGCAGAGGTGCTGCACAACGATTCCTATGGAAACATTATTGCATTATTGATTGGTCCCCTAAGGGAATGTTTAGCATGAATTGCACCTCCCACTCTGTGTGCCATGGCCACACTATGTTCAGCTGGTCTGAACAAAATGGTTAGATGGTAGAAATGATAAGAAGTACGGCAAGAGTTCCTATTATCTGGAAACATGGCAGTAGAACGGCACCTCAACCTCAAATTATATGGCCCACTGTAGGAGCTAAACATAAGGATTTGTGGAAACTATTAATGGCTCTTAATAAGATTCAAATTTGGGAAAGAATAAAAAGGCATCTAGAAGGACACTCTACAGACTTGTCTTTGGATATTGCAAAATTAAAAGAACAAATATTTAAAGCATCCCAGGCACACCTGACCTTAATGCCAGGAACTGGAGTGCTTGAAGGAGCTGCAGACAGATTAGCAGCTAGTAACCTGTTAAAATGGATAAAAACACTTGGAGGCTCTGTGATTTCAATGATAATTGTGCTTTTAATCTGTGTAGTTTGTCTTTGTATAGTCTGCAGATGCAGATCCTGACTTCTGCAAGAAGTAGCTCACCATGATAAAGCCGCCTTTGCTTTTATTGTCTTGCAAAAATAAAAAGGGGGAACATGTTGGGAAAAGGCCCCCAAATCTGGCCATAAACTGGCCCCCAAAATGGCCATAAACAAAATCTTTGCAGCACTGTGACATGTTTGTGATGGCCATGATGCCCACGCTGAAGGTTGTGGGTTTACCAGAATGAGGGTAAGGAGTACCTGGTCCACCCAGGGCAGAAAACCACTTCAGGCATTCCTAAGCCACAAACAATAGCATGAGTGATCTGTGCCTTAAGGACATGCTCCTACTGCAGATAACTAGCCAAAGCCCATCCCTTTGTTTCCCATAAGGAACGCTTTTAGTTAATCTATAATCTATAGAAACAATGCTTATCACTGGCTTGCTGTCAATAAATATGTGGGTAAATCTCTGTTCGTGGCTCTCAGCTCTGAAGGCTGCCAGCCCCTTGATTTCCCACTCCACACTCTATATTTCTGTGTGTATGTCTTTAATTCCTCTAGTCCCACTGGGTTAGGGTCTCCATGACCGAGCTGGTCTTGGCAATGTACCCCATACATATATATATTATTATGAATTACAAACATTTGGAAAAAACTTATTAGATAGACGTATTTGTTTTTCTCTTCTTCAAATAATTCTTTAAGGATGGGGACCATATCTTATAACAGTGCCAAGTATTCTGTGGGGTTTTCACTACAGATGACATCTTCCATGCCTGGTTGACAAAATGCCAGATGGGGGCACTAAAAGGCTTTACCTGGGCTGCTGACACCCTCCTCATTACCACTCCCTCCCCATCTCCCCCAGTATGGTTCCTCGATAGAAGAGTAGAAGCAAAGCAGAGCAAATAACCAATACCTGAGAAAACACAATGACTTTGCCAGTATCTTCATTTACTGTCTGGATGGTGCCATGAACCACAGCTGTGCCAACCATCTTCCCTGTAACTTGCCCCCTTCTATTAACAACAGCCACGGTCTGATTACTGATGGAGAAGTGAATGATGGATTGGGGCTGGGGGCCACCTTCAGACATTACCTGGAATTTAAATATACCATTGAATGCCCAGAACATGAGGGAGAAATCATGTCTCTTTTTCCCAACATTTTGTCAAAGCAACTTAACTTCTTCATTTCCCCCCATTTCTTGAAAAATATATCCCATATCAACTCAAATGCAGAAGAGATGGAAGTACTGCAAATGATCCATGGGATTCCAAGAGAGTTTTTATATGAGGTACATCATAGGCCAGGAAAAATACTAATCTTGTTCTTTATCAGATTCAGTAGTATTTGGGTGAGAGTAAATAAGAGATCAATAGGAAAAGGGGTGTGTGTGTGTGTGTGAGAGAGAGAGAGAGAGAGAGAGAAAGAGAGGGATAAGGAGAAAAGGTAAATCTTATTTTTCTGCCTGTAAGTTCACCTGCATCATATTCATTGGAATCAGTGTCATTTTCTCTGGAAGAAGTCTGAATGGAGGAAACACCTTGAAGGAGAAAACCAAAAGGACAAGTAACTAACTAGAGTCAATTTTATAACATACCATAGTCATTAAAAAAAATTTTTTTTTTAGACAGAGCCTTGCTCTGTTGCCCATGCTGGAGAGCAGTGGCATGATCATAGCTCACTGCAGCCTTGAACTCCTGGGTGCTTCGGCCTCCTGAGTGGCTGGGACCAGAAGTGTGCACCACCATGCCTGACTAATTTCTTTCTTTCCTTCCTCCTCTCCTCCCCTCTCCTCCCCTCTCCTTTCCTTTCTTTTTGAGACGGAGTTTCGCTCTGTCACCCAGGCTGGAGTGCAGTGGTGAGATCTTAGCTCACTGCAACCTCCGCCTCCCAGGTTCAAGCGATTCTCCTGCCTCAGCCTCCCAAGTAGCTGGGATTACAGGCACCTGCCACCATGCCCAGCTAATATTCTGTATTTTAGTAGAGATGGGGTTTCACCATGTTGGCCAGGCTGGTCTAAAACTCCCAACCTCAGGTAATCCACCTGCCTTGGCCTCCCAAAGTGCTGGGATTACAAGTGTGAGCTACCACGCCTGGCCATGACTGACTAAGTAATTTTTTGCAGAGATGGGGTCTCCCTATGTTACCCAGGGTGGTCTCAAACTCCCGGGCTCAAGTCATGCTCCTGCATCAACCTCTCAAAGTGCTGGGATTACAGGCATGAGCCACCAAACCCAGCCCATCATGATCTTATTCTAAGGAAAACTCCTAATTATATACAAAAAAGTTACACACAAAGATATGTAATTTTATTTATAATAGCAAAAAATTTAAAAGTATTTAAGTGGGAATACTTAAATAAGTTATATATCCACTCACTAGAGTAAAAGTGACCATTAAAATTATGTTTACAGTTAACTTTCTTTTTTTCTTTTTTTTGAACACATAAAAGTAGAACAGCTGGCCGGGCGCGGTGGTTCATGCCTGTAACCCCAGCACTTTGGGAGGCCGAGTTGGATGGATCACGAGGTCAGGAGATCGAGACCATCCTGGCTAACACGGTGAAACCCTGTCTCTACTAAAAATACAAAAAATTAGCCAGACATGGTGGCGGGCGCCTGTAGTCCCAGCCACTTGGGAGGCTGAGGCAGGAGAATGGCCTGAACCCGGGAGGCGGAGCTTGCAGTGAGCCGAGACTGCGCCACTGCACTCCAGCCTGGGTGATAGAGAGAAACTCCATCTCAAAAAAACAAAAACAAAAACAAAAACAAAAGTAGAACAGCTGGGCGGTGCAGTATCTCACACCTGTAATCCCAGCTACTCAGGAGGCTGAGGCAGGAGAATCGCTTGAACCCGGGAAGCAGAGGTTGCATTAAGCTGAGATCGCGCCATTGCACTCCAGCCTGGGCGACAGGGCAAGACTCTCTCAAACGAAAAAAAACAACGGTTGCCTCTAAGAAGTGAAATTACAGGTGATTTTCATTTAACATCTTCAAAATTTGTGCTTTCCAAATTTTATTTTATTTTCTTTTTTTTTAAGAGACAGGGTATCATTCTGTCACCCAGACTGAAGTGCAGTGGCACAATCACGGCTCACTGCAGCGTGGAACTCCTCCTGGGCTCAAGTGACATTCCCGTTTCAGTCTCCCAAGTAGCTGCGACCACAGGCATGCACCACTACACAAGTTTTTCTAAATTTTCTATGAGAACTGTTTTATACAGAGAAACAAAACCAAAAATACTGCATGTTGTGCAAGAGTTAGACACTATCCCTTTTTTCAGTCAAATGATTTTTTTTTTTTTTTTTTTGAGACAGGGTCTCTCTCTGTCACTCAGGCTGGAGTGCAATGGCACAATCACAGCTCACTGCAGCCTCAACCTCCAGGGCTCAAGTGATCCTCCTACTTTAGCCTCCTGAATAGCTAGAACTACAGGCACACCACCATGTCTGGCTAATTTATTTTATTTTATTTTTATTTTGGTAGAGACAGAGTCTCACTATGTTGCCCAGGGTGGTTTCATATGCTTGGATTTAAGTGATGTTCCCACCTCAGTCTCCCAAACTGCTCACACGGTGGTGTGAGCCACTGTGCCCAGCCAGTCAAATGATTTTTAACTTGTATAAACTAACAGAAAAAGACAAATGATGTTAAGCAAGAAAAAGTACAAATTTTGGGTGAGATAATTTCCTTACTTCAATGTGCCGAGGAGTTGATGTGTATTTTCTTCCCATCTTGTCCCTAGCAATAGCCACAAGTGTGGTTTGCCCAATAGTGGTAGCTCGAAGAATATAATTTTCAGAGTATTCGTCCTGTTCCTCCATTAGCCTGCAAAAACCCATGTATTTTCAGGTGAGAAAGATTTTTGTTTCAAGACAGTGTCTTACTCTGTCGCCCAGGCTGGAGTGCAGTGGCATGATCTCGGCTCACTGCAGCCTCAACCTCCCAGACTCTAGGTATCTTCCCACCTCAGCTTCCTGAGTAACTGGGACATACCACCACGCCTGGCTAATTTTCTTATTTTTTGTAGAGCAGGGGTCTCACTGTGTTGCCCAGGCTGGTCTTGAATTATGGATTCAAGCAATCCTCCTTCCACAGTCTCCCATCATGCTGGGATTGCAGCATGAGCCACCACTCTTGGCCAAGATTAGGTTCTGAAAGTGGCCAGTGGTGCATCTTTCCAAGGTGCCTAACATTTTCTGCTCATTTTAACTCTGGTTAGGGGGAATTGCCAGAAAATAAATTTCCAGAGTGAAGACAAATTTCAAGGGAATGGTGGAAGGCTCATGAGAGGCAAAAATTTGTTCTAAGGCTCCAGAGGAATAAGGGCAATATAAAAACAGACTGGTAGAATTGCAAATACTAAATTGCCTGAAATTCCTGAATTTCTCCTTTCTCAGAGGGGAATACCAGTACCTCTGCCTCTAAATATATTTTTGAAGGGTCCTCTAGCCTGAAGCACCCCCAAAAGATATCACCCAAGGAGAAGTTTCAGAAATTGGAAATATTAATGACACAAGGCATCTGAGGACCGAGAGAGAGAGAGAGAGAGAGAGAGAGAGAGAGAGAGAGAGTGTGTGTGTGTGTGTGTGTGTGTGTGTGTATTTTAAGAGATGTGAGCCTTGCTATGTTGCCCAGGCTGGAGTGCAGTGGCTATTCACAGGCGCAATTATAGTGCGCTATAGCCTCCAACTCCTGGGCTCAAGTGAGTCTCCTGCCCTAGCCTCCTGAGTAGCTGGGACTACAGGCATATACCCTCATGCCAGGCTCAAATAGGTATTTTGTAGAGAGCTGAATATGGGAAGAGAGTATAGGCTGAAATGTATTCTAACAAAAAAGTAAGGGAGAAAATCTGAAATAATCTAAGGGAAAGCTGACCAGGTTACTAGGAGGGAGAGTCTTATGGTATTATGCATAGGGGAAAGAAAGTATTGAAATGGTACTTACGTCAGGGTGACAATGGCAGAAGCCAACTGCAGTTTGAGTTCCATGTTTCTGAAGTATTTATTTTGAAATGGGCGTTTGGAAAAGCCAAGAACCCTCACAGTCACTAACACAGTTTTGCCTATTTCAACCTAGTAGTTAAAAAGAAAAAGATTTTAGTAAAGGTGTCTCATTCACCAATGGCAGTCTAACTCTTAGAGGGCAGTGTACTTTTTTTTTTTTTTTTCTTTCATGCTAAATGATCCTGGTCAGCCTTCAATCAAATAAGCTTAATCTGTGTGTATTGTTTTAAGTTGTTCTTTAACAGTCTATTTATCTTCATCTGTTTAATGTTGAAATGTTGTTCTTTAAGGGCAGGTATTTCCATTAGCATTACCAGAAGTCCTGGTATACACACACACACACACACACACACACACACACACACACACACAGAGTAGCTGAGCAGAGACCATATTAAGGAATGCTGGGGAATGAGAATAAGGCTTGCTTAATTTCTGGGATAAAGCAAACATGTCTCACCTTATCAATCAGATCAAGCTCCAGCTCTTGTATGTCTGACACCCTGAGATGGGCTGTTGCTGGACCCAAGAAAACCAAACAAAGATCATAGACCTCCAAGGTAAGAAATCCAGGATGTAATGGAACTAACTAGAAGTAAGAAGATGGTAGCTGGATAAAGAAGCAAACAAGCTCCAAGCATAATCAAAGCAACTATTTTTACCCAAAGCAGAATAGACAACATCTTGCTTTCTTTGAACTGGGGACTCTCAGAGGTCACATAACATTATTCAGGCATAGCATAATATGTACTCTTAATGTGATGTTTCCAATCATGGCAAAATATGTACTTTAACAAATATAGATTGGGCACAGTGGCTCACCCCTACAATCCCAGCACTTTGGGAGGCCGAGGCAGGAGGATCGCTTGAACCCAGGAGTTCAAGACCAGCCTGGGGAACAAAGCAAAATCCTGGTCTCTATAAAAACTTTTTTAAAAAAATTAGCAAGGCTGGGCATGGTGGCACATGCCTGTAATCCCAGCACTTTGGGAGGCTGAGGTGAGAGGATTGCTTGAGCCCTGGAGTTTGAGACAAGCCTGGGCGACATGGTGAAACCCTGTCTTTACCCAAAACAAAACAAAACAAAAATTAGCTGGGCACGGTGGTTCGTGCCTGGAGTCCCAGTTACTCAGGAGGCTGAGAGAGGATCACTTGAAGCTGGGAGGTTGAGGATGCAGTGAGTTGAGATTGTGCCACTGCACTCCAGCCTGGGAAACAGTGAGATCCTGTCTCAAAAAAAAATTAGTTGGGCATGGTGGCATACACTTATAATCCCAGCTACTCAGCAGGCTGAGGTGGGAGGATCACTTGAATCTAGGAGCTCAAGGCTACAGTGAGCTATGATCACGCCACACACTCCAGCCTGAGCAACAGAGTGAGACCCTATCTCTACCAAACAAAACGAAACAAAAAACAAATAGTAAAGAGCAGAATTTATGTTGATTGAATTCAAGCAGAATCCAACATATGTATTCAGCTTCTCAATTATGAACAAGGAAAGGATGTCATGAAGAAAAATCGCATCCATTTATGCCACAATCACTAGTAGGGGGAGAAAGCATTGGGCCAACTAACACTGCTTTTTCTTTCTTTGTGCTACAGTTCCTGCACAATAGCATGTTTTTTTCACATCATTTGTACCTCAGTCTTCCCTTTTTAAAACATATATTATGACTAGGGTAAGTTAAATTACTTGAAGCTTGTAGAAAGGAACTATATACATATATTAGTATATGGTATTATTTTTATTACTATAAATCAACTAAAAACAAATCCTTTGACATACTGACTATGGAGTTAGGTTAATGTTTTGAGTTGTCATATCCTGGCTGAAAACATCATATATTCATCTTGTAAAGTCAATAGTGGCCTGGCGCGGTGGCTCACGCCTATAATCCTAGCACTTTGGGCAGATCACTTGAGGTCAAGAGTTCAAGACCAGTCTGGCCAACATGGTAAAACCCTATCTCTACTAAAAATACAAAAATTAGCCAGACATGGTGGTGGGCTCCTGTAATCCCAGCTACTCAGGAGGCTGAGGCAGAAGAACTGCCTGAACCTGGGAGGTGGAGGTTGCAGGGAGCCAGGACTGTACCACTGTACTCCAGCCTGGGCAACAGAGCGAGACTCTATCTCAAAAAATAAATAAATAAATAAAGTCAATAGCATATTTAAATATTTTAAGTATCTACACAGATGTGTGCTTTGAAACTTAAAAAATGAAACTCTTTTAATGGAAAAGAAAAAAACTTCTTTTAACTAGAGATCTCTTATACTGTGCCAGTTCAACCAGAAACAAAAAAAGCACTCCCTTTCGGTTGAAGAATCTATATAGGTTAAAGAAAGAAAGAAAGGAAAATGTTACTTGTGTAACAAGTTTTAGACACAAAATGGAATTTTTCCAATCAATCTCTTAAGAATGAGCGTTGGCCTGAGACCATCAATCTGAGACTGTCTCCAGAGCTCACCTCAACAGAGCTTTCTGCTTCCGTGTAAGTGATGGTGACAACATGCTGCTCACTGCTGTTGACTAAAAAATAACCAGATCCTTCCACAAGGCTAAATATTTCCTATGGAAAAATCAGACAAACAATATTCTGTTCACTTCAGTTTATAAATAGCTCAAAGGAAATAATTTCTACCTACCTAAGAAAGAATATGGATAAAAAGATTACAGTGAATGGACAAAAGACAAAATACAATTATTAAGGTACAATTTTTAAGGACGGTGCAACCATCATATATGTGTTTCATATATATGTATCAATTATTTTCAACACATAAGTGAGCTTTTTAATTGTTATGCTATCAATTTTAATAACGTTCCCTCCAATACGATTCCATGTAACCAGACTCATACAGCTTCTACCTTCACATCAGGGTGGTTATAGATGGTGGCGTTCTCAGGCACTACAGTTACATCATCTACCAGGAGCAGTTCCACATCTACAGATCTGGGCAAGTTGGAAATTTCCTAGAAATATAATAAGAACCACAAAAGTGAATATAAATGTCTAATTCTTGGCCGGGCACAGTGGCTCACACTTGTAATCCCAACACTTTGGGAGGGTGAGGCAGGCAGATCATCTGAGGTCCGGAGTTTGAGACCATCCTGGCTAACATGGTGAAACCCCGTCTCCACTAAAAATACAAAAATTAGCCGAGCATGGTGGTGGGTACCTGTACTCCCAGCTACTTGGGAGGTTGAGGCAGGAGAATCGCTTGAACCTGGGAGGCAGAGGTTGCAGTGAGCCAAGATGATGTCACTGCACTCCATCCTGGGAGACAGAGCGAGACTTCATCTCAAATAATAATAATAATAATAATAATCAATGTCTAATTCTTCAGCTCTACGGGAGAAGTTTCCAGAACTCTCTCGAGTGCCAAAAATAACAGATTTACAGAGGTATATGGTCTCAGCTTTATGTAAGTTGTATAACTTTTAAAGAAGAGCTTTATATTCCAATTATTTAACTTATATTTCTTATATTATAATCTCCACTCACTTTTGGGCTTTTCTTCTCTGAATAGCCCACAAAATTGACTCCAATAAGTACAGTTCCTTTTATCTGACGTACTTTAAGGATCTGATGACCTGAAAACATGCAGAAAAATACCCTGTGAGAAACAATAACATATAGAATACAAGTGTTTCTAGAAAACCACATTCTGCCACAGTTTTTCCAAATGGTGCTTTATTGCAGAGGAAGAAAAACTCTCAATGGGGAAATACACAAGAAAAAACTGTTTTTTATTTTTATTTTTTTAGATGGAGTGTCGCTGTGTTGCCCAGGCTGAAGTGCAGTGGCGTGATCTCGGCTCACCACAACCTCCCGGATTCAAGCGATTCTCCTGCCTCAGCCTCCCAAGTAGCTGGGACTGCGCACCACCATGCCTGTCTAATTTTTGTATTTTTAGTAGAGATGGGGTTTCACTATGTTGGCTAGGCTGGTCTCGAATTCCTGACCTCGTGACCTGCCCGCCTCGGCCTCCTAAAGTGCTGGGGTTACGGACATGAGCCACCACACCTGGCCTGAAAACTGGGTTTTTGTGCTGACCATGCCAATATATACCCATATGACCCTGAGTAAACACTTTATCTCTTAGTTTCTTTATTAAATGAGGGACTGGGCCAGGCAAAATCTAAAATTCTTTCTAGCTTTGATGGTCTATGAGTCCAAAAATAGGCTGACAGGTGTAACGTTTTGTCCAATTTACAAATGGAAGTGAGAAAGGGATAGTCCTTTGAGATCTTTCATCTTTAATTCTCCTAAACTGTTCTCTACATTTATATGTCAAGTAAGTCACTTAACAAAGTTTTTTTTGTTGTTGTTGTTGTTTTTTGAGACGGAGTCTCGCTCTGTCGCCCAGGCTGGAGTGCAGTGGCCGGATCTCAGCTCACTGCAAGCTCCGCCTCCCGGGTTTACACCATTCTCCTGCCTCAGCCTCCAGAGTAGCTGGGACTACAGGCGCCCGCCACCTCGCCTGGCTAGTTTTTTGTATTTTTTAGTAGAGAAGGGGTTTCACTGTGTTAGCCAGGATGGTCTCAATCTCCTGACCTCGTGATCCGCCCGTCTTGGCCTCCCAAAGTCCTGGGATTACAGGCTTGAGCCACCGGGCCCGGCCAACAAAGTTTTTAAATGGTTATTCTTAATTAGATCAATCCAAACTCCTTAAACTTGTATTTGAAAGCTTCCATATTCTGACTCTGCTTTAATCATTCATTTTCTTTCTCTTTCTTTTCTTTCCTCTTTCTCTCTTTTCTTTTTCCTTTGTGTGTGTGTGTGTGTGTGTGTGTGTGTGTGTGTGTGTGACAGGGTCTAACTCTGTCGCCCAGGCTGAAGTGCAGTGGTGCAATCACAGTTTACTGCAACCTCTACCTACCCAGCTCAAGCAGTCCTTCCACCTCAGCCTCCCAAGTAGCTGGGACCACAGGTGCACGTCAACATGCCTGGCTAATGTTTTGTAGAGACGGGGTCTTGCTGTGTTAACCAGGCTGGTCTTGAACTCCTGAGCTCAAGTGATCCTCCTGCCTCAGCCTCCTAAAGTGCTGGGATTACAGGTGTGAGCTATTGCACCTGGCCTTTTTTTCTTTTTTTAATTTAACAAACATGAATCTGCCACTTCACTTAGTCCAGTTTTAATTTTGTCCTCAATATATAATCATGACTAAATCTGTGAGGCAGTTTCTCCTGACGCCACATTCATTCAACAAATATTTATTGAGGGCCTACTACATGCCAGGTGCTATGTTAGGTAATTAGAATACAGAAATTAAGAAGAAAACACAATCCTTGCCTTCAAAGAAACCCATAATTTAGTGAGGGGTGACTGAGTAGTAAACCAATCACTGTAATATAGTGTGATAAGTGCTATTACAGAAGTATGTACAGAGCACATAGAGTATACAAGAGCACAAAGAAGGAATATTTATTTTAGATTGGGAATATAGAGGGACAGAAAACTCCCAGGTTCCCTAGAGGAAGATTTCAACCCAGTGAAGATGCGAGAAAAACATGTTTTAAGAAAATAGAACATAAGCAATATATGCAAAGGAAAGTAGAATGACAAGCCTTGTCATAGTTAGGGATCTAAAGTTGTTGAGTGTGAGAAAAATATAGGATATGTGTGGATACTAATAAGAGGTGAAACCAAAGAAGTAAACAGGGTCAGTCTGTGAGGCTACAACATACAAATTTTACCCAGAAAGTATGGGGAGTCTCTGAAGACAATATGGTGACAGTATAGTCAGTGGTCAGGACTACGGGCTTTGATGTCAGAGAGTTTATTGCTTCATCTGTTTACCTTTGTAATCTTAGGTCCTAAAACTGAGCCGGTTATAGTAAGAACTAAATAAATGTTTGATAAATCAATAAATTCACAAAATGGGAATGATAATACCAATCTCTCACGGTGGTTAGAAGATTATGTGAAAAAATGTGTAAAGTACTTAGTGCAGTGCCTGGCATGTCATGAGAGCTCAGTAAATAGCAACCAAAAAAGGATGAAGAGAGATATTCAGACTTGTATTGTGAAGAAGAATTATCTTCTGGTGTAGAAGAAAATGGTACAAAGGCTAACTTTTAGATTTCTGGTATGAGCATTTGGGTAGATGTAGAACCATTCAAAGGAATAGGGAACACAAAAATACATATATTATATATATGTATAATATGGTATATTATATATAATATGTACATATTATATATAAAATTGTTGGGAGCAAGCCCCCCAAAGTCTGGCCATAAACTGGCCCCAAGACTGGCCATAAATAAAATCTCTGCGGCAATGTAACATGTCCATAATGACTGTAATGCCCAAACTGGAAGGTTGTGGGTTTACGGGAACAAGGGTGAGGAACACCTGGCCCGCCCAGGGTGGAAGACTGCTTAAAGGCATTCTCAAGGCACAAACAAAAGCATGAGCGATTTCTGTCTTAAGAGCATGTTCCTGCTGCAATTAATTCGGCCCATCCCTTCGTTTCCCTTAAGGGATACTTTTAGTTAATTTAATATCTATAGAAACAATGCTAAAGACTGGTTTGCTGTTAATAAATATGTGGGTAAATCTCTGTTCGGGGTTCTCAGCTCTGAAGGCTGTGAGACCCCTGATTCCTCACACCTCTATGTTTCTGTGTTTGTGTCTTCAATTCCTCTAGTGCCACTGGGTTAGGGTCTCCCCGACCGAGCAGGTCTCGGCATAACATGTCTACATATTTTGTATGCATAAAATATATATTAAATAATATTTTATTATTTTTAAATAGAGGTGGGGGGGTCTCACTACATTGCCCAGGTTGGTCTTGCACTCTTGGGCTTGATTCTCTTGCCTCAGTTTCCCAAAGTGCTGGGATTACAGGCATGAGCCACTGCACCTGGCCTAAACAGTTATATTAATGGTCCACAGTGAATCATGCCTGCTGGTATCCATGCCTTTATGTAGTCCCACCCATCTTGACTCTGGTTTTTGTCAGGTGACTTCCATTAGTGAATGGGACATCAGCAAATGTGACACAAGCAGAAGCTTAATAAGCACTTGGGCATGAGGTCTTGTTGCTCTTTTAGAACCTCATCTATGCCTCGTGCCTCTCTGACTTAGTCTCACTCGCCTTCTTTTTTTTTTTTTTAGACGGAGTCTCGCTCTGTCGCCCAGGCTGGAGGGCAGTGGCCTGATCTTGGCTCACTGCAAGCTCCGCCTCCCGGGTTCATGCCATTCTCCTGCCTCAGCCTCCCGAGTAGCTGGGACTACAGGCGCCCGCCACCTCGCCCGGATAATTTTTTGTATTTTTAGTAGAGACGGGGTTTCACTGTGTTAGCCAGGATGGTCTCGATCTCCTGACCTCGTGATCCGCCCGCCTCGGCCTCCCAGAGTGCTGAGATTACAGGCGTGAGTCACTGCGTCAGGCCTCACTAGCCTTCTTAAGCTCATTCTTGCTATTTCCTCTTCCTGTCACCACTTCAGGTCTCAGCATAAATGTCACTTTCTCAGGGTAGCCTTCCCTGTTCAAGATGAGGTTAGGTCCCCCTAAAGCTCTCAAGTCTTTCTATATTTGCACTTAACACAGTTGTAATGTTTAAAGTCTGGCTTCTCGAGCTATCGTATGCCTTAGACTGTAAGTATATGAGGGCAGAAGCCATGTCTGTCTCATTCATCATTACATCTCCAGTGCCTAGCAGAGGACCTTAAATGTAGCCATTCAATAAATATTTGCTAACAAATAAATAATGTTAGGAAAATAACAGGCAGTCAATACATTTTAAAATTGAGTCAGGCGCTGGGCGCAGTGGCTCATGCCTATAATCCCAGCACTTTGGGAGATCGAGGCAGACAGATCACTTGAGTTCAAGAGTTCGAGACCAGCCTGGCCAACATGGTGAAACCCTGTCTCTACTAAAAATACAAAAAATTAGCCAGGCGAGGTGGTGCAGGCCTGTAAGCCCAGCTACTCAGGAGGCTGAGGCAGGAGAATCACTTGAACCCGGGAGGTGGAGGTTGCAATGAGCCGAGATCGCGCCACTGCACTCCAGCCTGGGAGATAGACCGAGATTCCATCTCAATAAATAAAATAAAATAAAATAAAATAAAATAAAATAAAATCAGGTACAATGGCTCATGCCTGTAATTCTAGCACTTTGAGAGGCTGAGGTAGGAGGATCACTTCAGGCCAGGAGTTTGAGACCAACTTGGGCAACATAGTGAGAACCTGTATCTACAAAAAATTAAAAAATCAGTTGGTCCTGGTGGCATGCACCTACAGTCCTAGCTACTAGGGCGGCTGAGGCAGGAGGATCACTTCAGTCCAAGAGTTTGAGGTTATAGTAAGCTACGATCTGCTCCACTGCTCTCCAGCCTGGGAGACAGAATAATATTCTGTCTCTAAAGAAAAAGAAATATATTTTAAAATTAATTTAATTTTATGTTTTTGTAAGAAATGTTGGCCCCTCAGCCCTAGCTTTGTAAACAAGGAAAACTACCTTCATGTTTTCTAAAAAGTACAAGAGTCAAAGATAAAAGGTGATATACGATAAAATCTAAAATAAAATTCTTGCCCATATGAAAAGACTTAGGGCTGGGTGTGGCGGCTTATGCCTGTAATCCTAGCACTTTGGGAGGCCGAGGCAGGTGGATTGCCTGAGCTCACGAGCCCGAGACCATCTTGGGCAACATGGTGAAACCGGTGTCTACTAAAATACAAAAAATTAGCTGAACATGGTGGCACGTGCCTGTAGTCCCAGCTACTCGGGAGGCTGAGGCACAAGAATTGCTTGAATCCTGGAGGCATAAGTTACAGTAAGCGGAGATAGCACCATTGCATTCCAGCCTGCGCAACACAGTGAGGCTGTATCTCAAAAAAAAAAAAAAAAAAAAGGAAAGAAAGTGAGTGTAGAAACACTCAGATATGGCCGGGCGCGGTGGCTCAAGCCTGTAATCCCAGCACTTTGGGAGGCCGAGACGGGCGGATCATGAGGTCAGGAGATCGAGACCATCCTGGCTAACACGGTGAAACCCCTTCTCTACTAAAAAATACAAAAAACTAGCCGGGCGAGGTGGTGGGCGCCTGTAGTCCCAGCTACTCCGGAGGCTGAGGCAGGAGAATGGTGTAAACCCGGGAGGCGGAGCTTGCAGTGAGCTGAGATCCGGCCACTGCACTCCAGCCCGGGCGACAGCGCGAGACTCCGTCTCAAAAAAAAAACCACTCAGATATATGATTAAGAAACTCACTCAAAATCGCACAACTACATGGAAACTGAACAACCTGCTCCTGAATGACTACTGGATAAACAACGAAATTGTCAGGGCTCTGAGCCCAAACCAAGCCATCGCATCCCACTCCTGCCTGCCAGAAAACAACCCCACTTTGACTGTAATTTTCCTTTACCTACCCAAATCCTATAAAACGGCCCCACCCTTATCTCCCTTTGCTGACTCTCTTTTCAGACAAAGCCCGCCTGCACCCAGGTGATTAAAAAGTTTTATTGCCGGCTGGGTGCGGTGGCTCAAGCCTGTAATCCCAGCACTTTGGGAGGCCAAGACGGGCGGATCACGAGGTCAGGAGATCGAGACCATCCTGGCTAATACGGTGAAACCCCGTCTCTACTAAAAAATACAAAAAACTAGCCGGGCGAGGTGGCGGGCGCCTGTAGTCCCAGCTACTCGGAGGCTGAGGCAGGAGAATGGCGTAAACCCGGGAGACGGAGCTTGCAGTGAGCTGAGATCTGGCTACTGCACTCCAGCCTGGGCGACAGAGCAAGACTCCATCTCAAAAAAAAAAAAAAAAAAAAAAAAAAAAAAAAATTTATTGCTCACACAAGAAGAAGCCTATTTGGTAGTCTCTTCACACGAGACGCATGACAGAAATAAAAAAAAAAAAAAAAAAAAAAAAATTTATTGCTCACACAAAGCCTATTTGGTAGTCTCTTCACACGGACGCGCATGACAGAAATGAAGGCAGAAAGAAAGATGTTCTCTGAAACCAGTGAGAACAAAGCACAACGTACCAGAATCTCTGGGACACATTTAAAGCAGTGTGTAGAGGTAAATTTGTAGCACTAAATGCCCACAAGAGAAATCAGGAAAGATCTAAAATCGACACTCTAACATCACAATTGAAAGAACTAGAGGCCGGGCACGGTGGCTCACACCTGTAATCCCAGCACTTTGGGAGGCCAAGGCGGGCGGATCACAAGGTCAGGAGATCAAGACTATCCTGTCTAACACGGTGAAATCCTGTCTCTACTAAAAATACAAAAAATTAGCCAGGCGTGGTGGCGGGCACCTGTAGTTCCAGCTACTCGGGAGGCTGAGGCAGGAGAATGGCGTGAACCCGGGAGGCGGAGCTTGCAGTGAGCCCAGATTGCACCACTGCCCTCCAGCCTGGGCGACAGAGCGAGATTCTGTATAAAAAAAAAAAAAAAAAGAAAGAAAGAAAGAAAAAAAGAACTAGAGAAGCAAGAGCAAACAAACTCAAAAGATAGCAGAAGGCAAGAAATAACTAAGATCAGAGCAGAACTGAAGAAGACAGAGACACAAAAAAACCCTTCAAAAAAATCAATGAATCCAGGAGCTGGTTTTTTGAAAAGATCAACAAAATTGATAGACCACTAGCAAGACTAATAAAGAATAAAAGACAGAAGAATCAAATAGACGTAGTAAAAAATGATAAAGGGGATATGACCACTAATCCCACAGAAATACAAACTATCATCAGAGAATACTATAAACACCTCTATGCAAATAAACTAGAAAATCTAGAAGCAATGGATAAATTCCTGGACACATACACCCTCCCAAGACTAAACCAGGAAGAAGCTGAATTGCTGAATAGACCAATAACAGGCTCTGAAATTGAGGCAATAATTAATAGCCTACCAACCAAAAAAAGTTCAGGACCAGACGAATTCACAGCCGAATTCTACTAGAGGTACAAAGAGGAGCTGGTACCATTCCTTCCAAAATTTTCCAATCAATAGAAAAAGAGGGAATCCTCTCTAACTCATTTTATGAGGCCAGCATCATCCTGATACCAAAGCCTGGCAGAGACACACACCAAAAAGAGAATTTTAGACCAATATCCCTGATGAACACCGATGGAAAAACCCTCAATAAAATCCTCGCAAACCGAATCCAGCAGCACATCAAAAAACTTATCCACCAACATCAAGTTGGCTTCATCCCTGGGATGCAAGGCTGATTCAACATACGCAAATCAATCAACGTAATCCATCACATAAACAGAACCAAAGATAAAAACCACGTGATTATCTCAATAGATGCAGAAAAGGCCTTCGACAAAATTCAACAAACCTTCATGCTAAAAGCTGTCAATAAACTAGGTACTGATGGAACGTATCTCAAAATAATAAGAGCTATTTATGACAAACCCACAGCCAATATCATACTGAAATGGGCAAAAACTGGAAGCATTCCCTTTGAAAACTGGCACAAGACAGGGATGTCCTCTTTCACCACTCCTATTCAACATAGTGTTGGAAGTTCTGGCCAGGGCAATCAGGCAGGAGAAAAATAAAGGGTGTTCAATTAGGAAAAGAGGAAGGCAAATTGTCCCTGTTTGCAGATGACATGATCATGTATTTAGAAAACCCCATCGTCTCAGCCCAAAATCTCCTTAAGCTGATAAGCAACTTCAGCAAAGTCTCAGCATACAAAATCAATGTGCAAAAATCACAAGCATTCTTATACACCAATAACAGACAAGCAGAGAGCCAAATCATGCGTGAACTCCCATTCGCAACTGTTACGAAGACAATAAAATACCTAGGAATCCAACTTACAAGGGATGTGAAGGACCTCTTCAAGGAGAACTACAAACCACTGCTCAGTGAAATAAAAGAGGATACAAACAAATGGAAGAACATTTCATGCTCATGGATAGGAAGAATCAATATCGTGAAAATGGCCATACTGCCCAAGATAATTTATAGATTCAATGCCATGCCCATCAAGCCACCAATGACTTTCTTCACAGAATTGGAAAAGTTCATATAGAACCAAAAAAGAGCCCACATGGCCAAGACAATCCTAAGCCAAAAGAACAAGGCTGGAGGCATCACACTACCTGACTTCAAACTATACTACAAGCCTACAGTAACCAAAACAGAGCTATATCTCTGTTGTTTGGTACTTGTACCAAAACAGAGATATAGACCAATGGAACAGAACAGAGGTCTCAGAAATAACACCACACATTTACAACCATCTGATCTTTGACAAACCTGACAAAAACAAGAAATGGGGAAAGGATTCCCTATTTAATAAATGGTGCTGGGAAAATTGGCTAGCCATATGCAGAAAGCTGAAACTGGGCTGGACGCGGTGGCTCACACCTGTAATCCCAGCACTTTGGGAGGCTGAGGCGGGTGGATCATGAGGTCCGGAGATCAAGACCATCCTGGCTAACATGGTGAAACCCCATGTCTACTAAAAAAAAAAAAAAAAAAATTAGCCCGGTGCAGTGGCGGGCGCCTGTAGTCCCAGCTACTCAGGAGGCTGAGGCAGGAGAATGGCATGAACCCTGGAAGTGGAGCTTGCAGTGAGCCGAGAGCGTGCCACTGCACTCCAGCCTGGGCGACTGAGCAAGGCTCCGCCTAAAAAAAAAAAAAGAAAAAAGAAAATGTGGCACATATACTCCATGGAATACTATGCAACCATGAAAAGGATGAGTTCGTGTCCTTTGTAGGGACATGGATGAAGCTGGAAACCATCATTCTGAGCAAACTATCACAAGGACAGAAAACCAAACACTGCATGTTCTCACTCATAGATGGGAACTGAACAATGAGAACACTTGGACACAGGGCGGGGAATATCACACACCAGAGCCTGTCATGGGGTGAGGGAATGGGGAAGGATAGCATTAGGAGAAATACCTAATGTAAATGATGAGTTAATGGGTGCAGCAAACCAACATGGCACATGTATACATATGTAACAAACCTGCACATTGTGCACATATACCCTAGAACTTAAAGTCAAAAAAAAAAAAAAAAAAAAAAGAAACACTCAGGTATACGAAAAGACTTGTATATTTTCACAATACCATGTAACCGGGTCTGCCCACTGCCATCATCTTTTGCTACCATTTCCACTGATTTATAATCTTCGAAATAGGCTAGTGTTTCATTGGAGGATTTCCATTCTAGCATTAGTGAACTGAAATTATCAAACTTTCTCCTATGTTGATCAAACACTGCTAGTTCCAGGACTGTGTCCCTCAGTCTTGACACAGGAATCTGCATTAAAATAAAAAGTAATAAAACAAAAATTTAAAAATCAATAGCCTAAGAGCTAGTAAGATATCTCTAAAGCTAGGGATTGAGTTTTCTCTCAATATTTTTACCTTAACAATTTGCAAACTTTTGCTATTGAAAGAACAATATAATAATTACCTATATACACACACTTCACCTGGATTCACCAGTTCTTAACATTTAGTTACATTTGCCTTTTCTCTCTCTCCCTCTCCTTCCTCACCTTCCATATATGGATGTTATTTTGTTTTGTTGATGTAGGCATCATTGCACTTCACCCCTAAGTATTTCAGCTTGTATCCTAAGAATACGAGAACATTCTGCTATGTAAGAAACAGGTATCACACATAATAATATTAACACTAATTCAATGTCAGCAAATATATAGTCAATATTTTCATTTCCCAAAACATCGCCCCAAAATGTTTTTAAATGTTTTTTAGTTTAGATCTAGAAGTTAATTAAGGTGTATGTATGCATTGTATTTGTTTACCTCTTTAGTATATTTTAATCTAGAAAAGACACATTTGCCCTTTTTTGTTATTGTGTTTCATGGTATTGAATTTTTTGTAAAGTCCAGGCTAGTTTTTGTTTTGTTTTTTTGAGACAGGGTCTCTGTCTGTGGCATGGGCTGCAGCACAGCAGTGTGACCATGGCTCATTATAGCCTCAACCTCCCAGGCTCAAGTCATCCTCCCAATTCAGTCGCCTGAGTAGCTAGGACTACGGGTGTATGCCACCACACCTGGATAATTTTTTTAATTTTATTAATTTTAATTTCAATTTATTTTTTATTTTTTTTTATTTCCATAGGTTTTTGGGGAACAGGTGGTATTTGGTTACAAGAGTAAGTTCTTTAGTGATGATTTGTGAGATTCTGGTGCCCCCATCACCCAAGAAGTATACAGTGGACCCGACTTGTAGTCTTTTATTTCTTACCCCCTCCACCTTTCCCCCTGAGTCCCAAAGTCTATTGTGCCATTCTTTTACCTTTGCATCCTCATAGTTTAGCTCCCACTTATAAGTAAGAGCATACGATGTTTGGTTTTCCATTCCTGAGCTACTTCACTTAGAATAATAGTCTCCAATCCCATCCAGGTTGCTGCAAATGCCATCAATTCCTTCCTTTTTTTTTTTTTTGAGATGGAGTCTTGCTCTGTCACCCAGGCTGGAGTGCAGTAGCACAGACTTGGCTCACTGCAACCTCTGCCTCCTGGGTTCAAGCAATTCTCCTGCCTCAGTCTCCCAAGTAGCTGGGATTACAGGTGTGTGCCACTATGCCCGTCTAATTTTTTTGTATTTTTAGTGGAGACGGGATTTCACTGTGTTAGCCAGGATGGTCTTGATCTCCTGACCTCGTGATCCGCCTGCCTCGGCCTCCCAAAGTGCTGGGATTACAGGCATAAGCCACCACACCCGGCCCTAATTCATTCTTTTTTATGGCTGAGTAGTACTCCATCGTGCGTGTGTGCGTGTGTGTGTATCACAATTTCTTTATCCACTTGTTGATTGATGGGCATCTCAATTGGTTCCACATCTTTGCAATTGCAAATTGTGCTGCTATAAACATGTGTGTGCAAGTATCTTTTTTGTATAATGACTTCTTTTCCTCTGGGTAGATACCCAGTAGTGGGATTGCTGGATCAAATGGTAGTTTTACTTTTAGTTCTTTAAGGAATCTCCACACTGTTTTCCATAGTGGTCATACTAGTTTACATTCTCACCAGCAGTGGAGAAGTGTTCCCTGTTCACCGTATCTACACCAACATCTATTATTTTTTGATTTTTTAATTATGGCTATTCTTTTTTTTTTTGAGATGGAGTCCCGCTCTGTTGCCCAGGCTGGAGTGCGGTGGTGAGATCTTGTCTCACTGCAAGCTCCGCCTGTCGGGTTCACACCATTCTTCTGCTTCTGCCTCCCGAGTAGCTGGGACTACATGCGCCTGCCGCCATGCCTGGCTGATTTTTTGTATTTTTAGTAGAGACGGGGTTTCACTGTGTTAGCCAGCATGGTCTTGATCTCCTGACCTTGTGATCTGCCCGCCTCGGCCTCCCAAAGTGCTGGGATTACAAGCGTGAGCCACTGCGCCCAGCAATTATGGCCATTCTTGCAAATAAAAGCATAAAGTGGGGAAATGACGCCCTATTTAACAAATGGTACTGGGATAATTGGCAAGCCACATGTAGGAGAATGAAACTGGGTCCTCATCCCTCACCTTATACAAAAATCAATGCAAGATGGATCAAGGACTTAAATCTAAGACTTGAAACTATAAAAATTCTAGAAGACAACACTGGAAAAACCCTTCTAGATACTGGCTAACGTAAGGATTTCATGACCAAGAACCCAAAAGCAAATGCAATTAAAACAAAGATAAATAGCTGGAACTTAATTAAAGAGCTTTTGCACAGCAAAAGGAACAGTCAGCAGAGTAAACAGACAACCCACAGAGTGGGAGAAAATCTTCACGATCTATACATCTGACAAAGGACTAATATCCAGAATCTACAATGAACTTCAACAAATTAGCAAGAAAAAACCAAACAATCTCATCAAAAAGTGGGCTAAGGACATGAAGAGACAATTCTCAAAAGAAGATATACAAATGGACAACAAACATGAAAAAATGTTCAGCATCACTAATGATCAGGGAAATGCAAATCAAAACCACAATGCGATATCACCTTACTGCTGCAAGAATTTTTTTTATTTTTTGTGGAGATGGGGTCTCACTGTGTTGCCAGGGCTGGTCTTGAACTCCTAGGCTCAAGCAATCCTCCCACCTCGACCTCCCAAAGTGTGAAACCCGCATCTCTACAAAAAATAAAAGATTAGTCACGTATGATGGTGTGCACCTGTAGTTGCAGCTACTCAAGAAACTGAGGTGGAAGGATCGCTTGAGCCCAAGTTCAATGTTACAGTGAGCTATGATTACACCACTGCCCTCTACCCTAGGTGACAGAGTGAGACCATCTCAGATAAATAAATAAGGGCCAGGCATGGTGGTTCACATCTGTAATCCCAGGACTTTGGGATGCCAAGGCAGGTGGATCACTTGAGGTCAGGAGTTCAAGACCAGCCTGGCTAACATGGCGAAACCCTGTCTCTAGTAAAAATACAAAAATTAGCCGGGCATGGTTAATTACAGGAATGGTGTGTGCCTGTAATCTCAGCTACTCAGGAGGCTGAGGCACGAGAATCGCTTGAACCTGGGATGTGGAGGTTGCAGTTAGCCAAGAATGCACCACTGCACTCTAGCCTGGGCGACAGAGTGAGACTCTGTCTCAATGAATAAAAATAAATAAATAAATAAATAAATAAATTCAATGTTACACTGGAGCAGGCTCATAGGTAAGCTGATTGTTAGCATCTCTTTACAACTCTGAATAGTGATATCATATTGGTAATCTGAAATCGGCCATGATGGGAATATTAACACCATAGAATTTGGCACATGTTACAAATTGGGTCCCCCTTAGTATTTTGGTTTTTTTTTTTTTTTTTTTGAGAGTCTGTTAAAAATTTACTTGCACATAATATCAGGTTGCACCATTATTAGTGATGTCAAATTTGATTATCTGCTGAAGGTGGTGACTGCCACTGGAGATCTCTCCAGTATAAAGGTATGGTTTCTCCTGTGCGGGTGATAATTTGAAGTCTTGAGACTATCCCATTTCCCAACAAGCTTTCACCTACTAGTCTTAATATCCATTGATGATCTTCGCCAGGATCAATTATTACAAGGAGGATTACAAAACCATAAATTTCTAATTCTATGATTCATTTTATATAAGCTGGTATTTTCCTGGAAAAGAGCATCCTTTTTTCTCTTCCATCCTCCTTCTCTTCCTTCCTTCCTCAATTCATTTCTCTTCTCTTTCTCCCTCCTTCTGTCTCTCTTCCTTCATTTTCCTCTTATAATCTTGAGCATCACTATGGGATCATGATTTTTTTTTTTTTTTTTTTTTTTTTTTTTTTGAGACGGAGATCTCACTCTGTCACCCAGGCTGGAGTGCAGTGGTACGATCTCGGCTCACTGCAACCTCCGCCTCCCCAGTCCAAGCGATTCTCCTGCCTCAGCCTCCCGAGTAGCTGGGACTACAGGCGCCCACCACTACGCCTGGCTAATTTTTTGAGTATTTTTAGTAGAGGCGAGGTTTCACTATGTTGGCCAGGCTGGTTTCGAACTCCTGACCTTGTGATCCACCCGCTTCGGCTTCCCAAAGTGCTGGGATTACAGTAGTGAGCCATCGCACCCGGCTGGGATCATTAATTTTAAGTTGATATTTCTGTCATTATTTTTTAAAAGATATTTAAGGGGTACAAATGCAGATTTCTTACATGCATGTATGACATAGTGGTGAAGCCTGGGCTTTTACTGTAGTAAACATTGTACTCAATAGGTAATTTTTCAACCCTCTGCCATTATTTTTTGGATGCTCAAATTATCTACAATTGGGACAGCAGGGGTCCCTTCAAGTCAGCTTCTTTTTGAGAAGTCACCATTACTCTTTGAGTGCTTCTTTGCTTTCTAACACAAGTTGTTTCAGAATCATTGTGTACTTTCCCTACTGAGCTGGAATCAACTAGTTCTCCAAAATGCTCTGATTCCTTTAAATGGGGACCAGTATTTAGAAACCAAGATGTTTGTACATCACTATTGGGGTGTAGGCCCTTTCAGTGAACAGAGCTTGTAAATAAAATTTGTTTAAAAAAAGTATCATAAGTTGTAGAGCAATTTTAAAACACGTCTGTAAACTCTCATTATATGTGAGACATACACATACATATGTATACACACACATATACACATTCTTTGACAAGATGACTCAATGACTCAGCATCATAAATATTCTGCTTATTCCAAGTTAATAAATAAATTTAACATAATCTCAATAAAAATACCAGAAACACAAATAAATATTTACCAATAATTAGCTGTCCATGAAGCTAATCAAGCAGAGACTTTTAGTAGCCACAGA